TGAGGGGGAAGTCTTGTCCCAGGGTGTCCCACGGGCTCGGGCCCTGTCCCGTCTGCGCGGTGGGACGTTCCCTCGGTACCACCTCGCTGGGGAGGGAGAGGGATCCCCCTCAGCCCCTCGGGACAAGCTGCACTGGCAGAGCTCCCCCAGAGCTCTCTGTTCCCGTCCCTGGGCCGGGCGTGCCGGGGCTCGGTGCGAGCGGGGCCGCGAGGTGCGAGCCAAGGCCTTTCACATGTGATGTTTTTAAGGAAACTTTTCCGATGAACGATTTCTGGCGAGACAAAACGTTGTAGTTAAATGCGTTCCGAGTTAACTCTGTGGGGCTGATGAGTTGAACTGGCTCCCGGGAGACTGGGGGCGTGCCGGAGCGTGCTCAGTGAGCAAACAGGAGGAGTGAGGAATGTGGACTGGCAGCTTTTACTCTCTGGTGACGACTGTCACAACCTGAGTTTGTGCAGTGCTTGGGGTAGCTATGTAGCTGTTTTGTGACTTGGGTGTTGGTAGCACAGAGGTGGGTTTGGTGCCTGCAGTTGACTTTTATGTGTCTTTCAAAACATCCAGGACGTTTTCTGGCTAGTTCCCAAGGCCTGAGCAGGTGCAGGGCTGTGCAGGGAAAGGCAGTAATGAGTGCTGCAGGTCCAGTGGTTGCCAGTAACCAGACTCAGGAGTGGCAGCCCTGGGCCTCTTCAGGGAATTCCTTAGTTTCCCTCCACCCCAGCGAGGCAGTGACTGGAGTCCTGACAGGCAGCTCTGGTTCCAGTGATCTTCTCTCCCCTCTCATAGGAGTGTTTGTCATGTTGGGCTCCGGGTTCAAGGCCGAGCGCTTGCGAGTCAACCTGCGCCTTGTCATCAATCGCCTCAAGCTGCTTGAGAAGAAGAAGAGTGAGTATTTCCTTCCAGGCAGGTTTTGGAGTGCAGTTTGTGGGGTGGTAGCTGTGGGCTGTGTGTGCTCACAGCACTGGGGATCTTCCTGGGTGCTGTGATAGGCTCTGCCCACTTCAGACACGGGTAAGATCTTTGGTCCTGGTGGACTCTGCAGGGAGGTTGTAGGTGCAAGAGTGTTTCTAGCAGCTAAACCCCCCCATCCTTTGTCCCGTGAATTAGTGTGCTCAGACCTGGACACGAGGGCTCTGCCAGGTCATGGCCCAGTGCCTCATGCTACAGGGACTGGATGGGGAGGAGAGGCTGGTTGGGTCTGGGTGTGTGTGGAGGCAGCAGCCCTGGCTAGCACAGTGACCAGGCTTGGGCATGTGTGCTGCAGCTGAGCTGGCCCAGAAGGCAAGGAAGGAGATTGCAGATTACCTGGCAGCTGGAAAAGATGAGCGTGCCAGGATTCGTGTGGAGCACATCATCCGTGAAGATTACCTGGTGGAGGCCATGGAGATCCTGGAGCTGTACTGTGACCTGTTGCTAGCCCGCTTTGGCTTGATCCAGTCCATGAAGTAAGTAAGCTCTGGCTGCCAGGGTCCTGGGCTTAGGGAGGGGCACTGAGAGGGTCCCGGGCTCAGGGAGGGGCACTGCTGGGCTGGGGGCAGGTCTGGGGTACAGAAGGGCACCTGTGTTTGTCTCAGTGCCCTGCGCATCCAAAGGTCCCTTCTTTTAGGGCAGACTGTAGTGCAGTGTGCAGGATGAGAACTTTGAGGCTAAGCAGATGGAGGGCAGCAAGGGCTGGGTGCTTGGGGTGGAGAGATGATTGATTTCTGTTGCCCCAGGGAGCTGGACTCTGGCCTGGCAGAAGCGGTGTCAACGCTGATTTGGGCTGCACCACGCCTCCAGTCAGAAGTGGCCGAGTTGAAGATTGTGAGTAGGGTTGCCTGAGGGTTGTTGTGTATGCAGGGTGGGGGTGAGGCTGCTAGAGGCTGATGGACGCCCTTGTCTGGTACTTTGTGTCATTGAGACAGGTGACATGTTTCTATGGGCTCTGCAGATGAAGACCAGGTGGCCCTGGAGCATCTGGAGTGGCTGCAGCTGCTGAACTGGGTGGCACTCAGCAGCAGAAATGGGCGGGAGGGGACAGATGTGCACAGATGTGCAGTGTGTGGTGGGGGAAAGCAAGGGGGTGTGTGTTCCTGGAGCTCTAAGAGTTCTCTCCTGCTGCAGGTGGCTGACCAGCTGTGCGCCAAGTACAGCAAGGAGTACGGGAAGCTGTGCCGGACAAACCAGATTGGGACAGTCAATGACAGGGTGAGGAGCTGGGTGGGACAGCTGCAGCCAGCCCAGCTGATGGGCACGCTCCCTGCTGGGGCCTGTCCAGCACAGTGCTCAGGCCCTGCCCTGCTGGCTGTGGGTGTGGAGGGGTGGAGCTGCCCACAGCGTCCTCCACAGCAGTGCTGTATTGGGAGGAGAGGCCTCCCCAGAGCTACCCGGTACTCCCTGCAGCTGGTGGCCTTGGCTGGGGTGGAGCTGGGACAGAGGTGTGGGGTGCTGTGCTGCCCTGGCCCCACTGAGTCTCTGCACCCCTGTGTTCCAGCTGATGCACAAGCTGAGTGTGGAGGCACCGCCCAAGATCCTGGTGGAGAGGTACCTCATCGAGATTGCTAAGAACTACAATGTGCCCTATGAGCCTGACTCAGTGGTGATGGTGAGTGAGTACTGGGCTGTGGCAGTGCAGTGAACTCAGTGGTCATTGTGCTTTGGTATCTTCTAGACAGCTCCAGCATATTACAGTCCTTGTTCCTGACTACAGCCCTATGACATGTGACTGTAGTTACTCGTGCTACAATCTGGTTCCTGTTCTGTTTCCCATTAATACCACTGTACAGCTGCTCTCTGTTGTGTCATTGTTGTGTTGCCCCATCTTGTCCACTGACAAACACTGCATTATATGCTGTTCAGAGGGCTGTGATCAGAACAGAGATGTGGTGGTGAGCAGAATTCCTTGCCCTTTTCAGGCTGAAGCCCCGCCAGGCGGAGAGGTGAATCTGATTGATGTGGGGTTCACGGATGAGGTGAAGAAAGGTGGTCATGGAGGGGGCGGAGGTGGTGGATTTACAGCACCGATGATCAGTCACGATGGGTTAGTACCCATGCCCGTGATGATGCCTATGCCCATGCCAACACCAAATCCACCCTTCTCCTATCCACCTCCGAAGGGACCGGTAAGTTCCTTGGCTTTGTGTGTTTCCTTTTCCTGTGGAAGACTGACTGCAGTGCTCAACCTTGTGCCTGCTGACTGGGAAGTGTCTGTACCTGGTAGCTCGATGTGCCAGAAGGCCATCGTGTTGGGGTGAGGCTGCATGGGATGCAGAGTGTTGGCAGTGCAGCCGAAGCTTCATGTTGCTTCTTGACTTGTGAAGGTTCCTAGCCCTGTTCTCCAGCCAGCCCTCTTTGCCTTCAGGGAACAGAGGAGTCCAGACTTAACTCCTGAGGCAGTCTTCTGACTGCCAGGCTTTGTCCAGGAGTTGGAGCTGCACTTCGAAGTTGGTAGGCTGGTAGTGTGCCAAGATTCAGTCAAGGAAATCAGGTGAGTTTTGTGGGGTAGGAACAGCACAGAAAAATGCAGAAGCACCTTCAGACCTGGAGGGGGAGGAGACTGAGACAATGGCTCTTGCAGATGATGTGTTGTGAGAGTCAAAGGTGGGAGCTGAAAAGAGAGCTGTCATTTCCAGGATATCTGTGTAGACTGGAGAGTGGCAGAATACTGGGATGGCTTGGAGTCTTAATATGGTCCCAGTAGAGCTGCAGTGGTTTCTGTGGAAAATCTGGGCCAAGTATTATCAGCTGGTTGTTGCCCCAACCATAAACATGCTGAGGAGTTGTGCCAAGTCTGGGTCCTTGAGGCAGTGTTGTGTTACAAGTGAGGATAATACAAAGCCTTGTGTGAGCCAGAGACTTCCTCCCTGTTCTGTGTGCAGTGTCACAGAGCCAGAAATGGCAGAGCATTCCTTCTTGTATTGGTACTTCTGATGCCTTGAAAGATGAACTGTTTACCCATATTGGTTCTTCAGGATAACCCATAGTCCTGTTGGCTGGGGCTGCCTGCTCCGGGTAACTACTTCTGTCTTAATGCTTGAGAATCTTTTTCTTGTAAGCATAAACTCTACCAGGTTGGATACCTGCCTGGATTTGTCAGGCTCTACTTCCTGTGACTCCTGTCGCAGCTGTAGGTGTGTTGTGTCCCAGGGGGTGCATGACTGATCTCTCTGTGCAGGAGAACTTCGGTGGCCTGCCAGTGGGGACCTACCAGCCTTTCCCCAACATCCACCCACCACCAATTCCAGCAAACCCTCCGACATACGAGTCTGTAAGTGCCTGAGCTGAGCGGCCATTGCAGGCAGCACAGGGAGGGTAGTGGTAGCCACAAGGAAAGGAAATATTGGTTAAGGCCACTGCTGCCAACCTTTGGAGCTTTTGGGGTGGTGCTGGCATTGCTTATGGGTGTGGTGAGTCACTGAGTGCATGGGATGGGAGGATAACTTGCAGACCTCATTCAGCTCGGTGCTTTGGCTGCAAAGGAAAGCCAAGATTTCTCTTGCTGCATTGTTCGAGTGGTGATAAACAGCTAACAAGCAAAGTCCACAAGTTCCGGTTTTTGCGATTTGGAGTCTAATTATGGCGTTTGAACTAATTGTTATCCTGGATGAGAATTTGGCTGACCCAGATGATGTATGTTTAAGCACTGTTCCTGTCCCAGACTTTCCTTGTTGCTTGGGGACAGCAAAAGAGAGGCTGAAGCCTGCCCTTTCTGTGCTTGTCTGCGGTTTTGTTGCTGCAGCTTCATGATCGTGCCTCCCACTTTGCTTGCAGTGACATGCTGCTTGTTTCTGCACTCTCCTGAGCACAGCCAAGCACCTGTGTGTGCTGGCACTTGGGCTACCTGCACAGCAGCCTGAGTCTGGGAGAGGCAGGTACAGATGCAGCATTACAGGGGAACTGCGTGGGGATAATGGATGTTGGCTGCAGCCCGCAGGGAATGAGGAGTTTTACCAGGACAGCCAGGTGTGCTGAGGGTCTTTCTCCCAGCATGACCAGGACCTGACATGGGTCCTGCTTCTAGTCACAAGGGCCTGTCAGTGGTTTATATAGAAAGGCCCCAGGAGCTGTGCCGACGTGGATGAAGAGAGCAGTCTTCTCCCACTTGTCCTTGATAAATGCTTTTGACCTGGTAGTAGATATGCTCTGTTCATCCAGTTCTAGAATATGGTCAGTGAAGCTGCTTGAATTGGTAGGGAGAGGAAAGGCAAAGCGCAGCCTCTGTTTCTTGGGAGCAGAGGCAGATTGTTCCAAAGCCAGGGCTGCCCCAGGGTGGGAGGAGTGTGCAGTACTGTGCCCTGAGCTCTGCCCACACGCTGGTATGGGCAGAGCTGGAGCAGAGCTGTGATAACTCCGAGTCTCTTTCAGATCGATGAGCCCAGTGCTGACAAGGACACAGCTGTGCCGGTGCCTGGTGAGTGTCAAGAGGTTGGGAAAGCCTGAGATGGTTGGGGCTGTTCAGAACAACCCACGGTGCTGCCTGTGTACTGAAACAGCCTTTGTGAGGCTCTATGTTGCTTGGTGAGTGTGTACTGACACAGTGATGTGCAGTGATACTTCTCTTACTCTCAACAGGGCCCGAATCCAAGCCAGAACCTTCTCCTAAACCAAGAGCTGGAGCTCCTAACACCTTGGATAACTTTGTGCTGCCTGAGTTACCGTCGGTGCCAGATACGCTGCCAACAGCATCTGCTGGCGCCAACTCTTCTGCCTCCGAAGACATTGACTTCGATGATCTGTCTCGGAGATTTGAGGAGCTAAAGAAGAAAACATAAAAATTCCTGGGCTGCAGGAAGGAGAGGCAGGAGATGTGACATCTTTATCTGAGACTCCCCTTGAAATTGGTTTCCTGTATTAACCTCAAATGAACACTCTTCTTTCTGAACTCTCTTCCTGCTCTACTGACACCAAGTGCTGCTGCTTTCCTGATCTTTGTTACTCCAGGAGGTGAAGTGTGGAGAATCTTGTGAGACTGGGGCAGGGAAGAGCCCCAGTCACTCTGGGTAGCTGTATGGAGCAGCTGCACCTGACATTCTGGGCACCATTCTTGTCTGCATCTATGATGGCTCCGTACCCCCGGAGGAGGATGCCTCTCGGGAAGCCCGCGCTGGCCGTCCTGGTGGGCTCTGTTCCTGGGTGGCAGGAGGGCAACACTGTGCAGTTTTCTCTTAAGCAGCATGTTTGCCCGGGCCCGCGGGGACTGCGAGCCTCGGGAGCTGCTCTGTCTGATTTCCGCTGGGATACGCGGCAGCACCGTGTTTCTCGCTGCGCTAAGGGTGGTACCGGCCCTGTCCCCGGGGCCGCTGTCGGTGTGTACCGCGCGTCTGCAATAAAGCCCCGTCCGGGCCCTGCCGTGCGCGCGGAACCCAG